CCACCCTGACACTAGAATCTTCAAACTCTGGCATCCCAGCTCCCATGTGACAACTGGATGAAGGAAGGATGGAACTTGGGAGCTTCTCTTGGGGAGGAAAAAGGACCTCCAGATACCTGTGGTGGCTTCCAGATGAACAGGTGCTGACAAAGAAGGCAGGAGTGTGGTGGCCGGCTCAGGAGCTGTGGAAAGGTTTGTCATCACGGAGGGACAGAGCCTCCCATACAGTCAGAGAAGCCCCCTCTCCCCCAGGCTCACCCAGGCTCAAGCAGTGGTCCAGACCAGGGCAGCCATTTACAGGTGGACCATAGCTAACTAAGAGTGAGGGGAAGAGCGATTGCGTGAATGGAAGGTGAGCAAGCCCGTGAACGAACTTAACCCAAGGGAGTGGGAAAGGGTGGTCAAGAGAGAAGCGGAGCAAAGAGAGCAGATGAACGAACAGGGAGAAAAATGGAAGGGATAAATGGACGAGCCAAAGGAAAAATGGAAAAATGGAGGCTCAAAAATGAAGGCAAGAAGAATAGAAATAAGGAAAAGTAGGAGAGATAGAAGAACATAAGGAAGAAAGTACATAAGGAAAGAAAGACAAGCAGATGAATGGGCAGGAGGATGGGTGGACGAATGGATGGACAGAGGGATGGATGAATTGATGAATGGATGGATGGATGGATGGATGAGTGAATAGATGGGGGTGGAAGGACTGAAGGAAGGAAGGACAAGCAGGTGAACGGGCAGAAAAATGCGTGGATGGACACATGGTTGGATGAAGGGATGGATGGAAAGGTAAGTGGATGGATGAACAAGTGGATGGATAGATGGGAGGATGGATGGATGGGTGGATGGGTGGGCAGATGGATGGCTGGAAGGACTGAAGGAAGGAAGAAGAGAAAGACGGAAGGACAAGCAGGTGAATGAGCAGAAAGACGGGTGGAAAGACGGATGGCTGGATGAGATCTGAGAGGAGGAATGACTGGAAGGATGGAAGAAAGAATGGCTGGAAAGACAGACGAGTGAACCACTGGATGAGAGAATGGGCAAATTTAGCCCAAACCACTTGAGTAGCCACCAGAGTTTTCAGCTTGACAATGGGATGCCTGCTGGGACCCCTGTGGGAGATTTTATCAGGAGGCATCTGACCTCAATCCCTATCCTTGTGAGGAATGCTCGGTCACACTTTTTCCTCCAACCCAGAGGGGTGTGGAAAATTCAGAAAGCCAATACCATGGCTGCAGGTCCAAAAATAGGCCAAGGACTAAGCATTCTTCCTTGCACTGGGACATTGGCCCCTCTCAGGAGACTGGCTTGAGTTTGGGGCAAGTTTCTTTTATGAACGAGGAGAAAAGCTTGGTCCAAGTCCCAAGGAGGCTGAAATGGGCACTGGATTCAAAGACACTGCTATGGTTTGTGTGCAGACGGACCCCACCAAAACTCTTGCTGAAATTTGATCCCCAGTGTGGCAGTGTTGGGAGGTGGGGCCTAATGGGGGGTGTTTGGGTCATGGGGGCAGGTCCCTCATAAATAAATTAACGCCCTCCTGCGAGGGTGAACACATTCTCACTCTCATGGGAATGGATTAGTTCCCAAGAGGGCAGGTTGTTAGAAAGAGTCTGGCTTCCTCAGTTTCCCTCTCTTGCTTCCTTTCTTGCCATGTGATCTCTGCACACACTAGCTTCCCTTCCATTTTTCCGCCATGAGTTGAAGTAGCCTGAAACCCTCGCCAGATGCAGCCATCCAATCTTGGACTTCCAGCCACCAGAATTGTGACCAAATAAACCACTTTTCTTTATAAAATACCCAGTCTTGGGTACTCTGTTATAGCCATACTAAATGTACAAAGGCACAAAGTTGGTACTAAGGAGTGGGATGCTGCTCTACAGATACCTAAAAAGTGTGGAGTGGCTATGGAACTGGGTAATGGGCAGCGGCTGGAAGAGTTTGGAGGAGCAGGCTACAAAAAAGACCATGTTGTAATGAACAAAAAGCATTAAGGGTGATTCTGGTGGTAGTGTAGAAGATGAGCTGAACCTTCTTAGAGACGAGTTAAGTGGTGGTGACCAAAATGCTGATAGAAATATGGACAGTAGGCTGGCTGGTTACCCAGTGGGTTAGAGCACAGCCTTGTAATAGCAGGGTCAAAGGTACAGATCCCCATACCGGCCAGCTTCCGAAACAAACAAGCAAAAAACTAAATAAAGCGATAAAAAAAAAAAAGGAAAAGAAATATGGACAGTAAAGGCTATTCTGATGAGGTCTCAAATGATTCTGTTATAGCAACACAAAAATGGACCAAGACAGACACGTACTTGTAGGAGGCTCATCTGGTCCACGTTCATTATAACCTGGAAATAAAAAAAGTCACAATAAGGGGAGGTGGTGGAACATCCCCACATACTTCATGCCTTTGTCCATTGGAGCCCCCGCCTAGACGTCTTTCCCTCTGTGTACCTAGTGAGCATCTATGCACCTCCCAACCTGACGAAAGTCACAATAAGGGGAGGTGGTGGAACATCCCCACATACTTCATGCCTTTGTCCATTGGAGCCCTCGCCTAGACGTCTTTCCCTCTGTGTACCTAGTGAGCATCTATGCACCTCCCAACCTGACGA